CCCCCCAAACCGCGTATGTCATTACACACCATTACATTGTGAACACACCACTTAAAATTCAGTCCGTCTCGCAAATTCGGGAGTAGAGACAACTGCTGCAATAGTCAGGGAAGAGTTCACAGTTCAATGTGATTCCGCCTAGAGCGAAAAAGAAGGCCCAACCCACCCAGCGAGTGATGTAAGTTTAGGGGGAGAGCTCAGGTGTGAGTATGATGTTCAGGGAAAACAAATGTGTCGGTCAGTTCACAACCCAGTGTGATCCCCTCTGGGGCAAACATTGTATTGCTTTATATATAGTTTTACAACTTGTATGTGATCACATTCACGGTAGTGGCTGATCTTTGACGCGAAGGACAGTTTATCGATCTCAACTTTTCACTCTTGGTTGATCGGCTGTCCCGTCCGAGTTTTTGTTCCGCAAATTATGATCTGAAATGCGGGATCTTAGCAGAATGTAGACCTTCAGAGTGAATCAGAGCGGGATCTTAGGGGTGACTTTTGTTTTGTAAAAATTCTGTTTTCTTATAACAGCGGGATCTTAAGCGAACCGGGGTCGTAAGCGCTGGGATCTTAGGCGGAGACTACTGTACCACTGATAACTAAAACTGTAATTAGTGTAACAAGGAACAAACAATTTACCTTAAGTTTCAGTCATCTAGTTCTGACCAAACAATTTTAAACATTAAAATATACATATATGCTTTTATAAACAAAAAGTGAGCATTTCTTCAACTTCACATTCAAAGCCGAAGCGTGGTAAAAATTTGAAAAAAAAAAAAAAATTATGGAATAAGGAATGAAAAAGGTTTTAAAGCCATGAAACTTTTTAAAAAACTCAATAAAAGATCAATACCATTATGATCTTAAAAGAAAACAAAACAAATCTACAGTGGTCCTCTCATTATACTTTCAGTCTAAGGGAGAACAAAAGATCACTGTCGAAATTGAAATTATATTTCTGACCACTCAACTCATCTTCTTATAATACTGGCAAAATCATACAAATCCTTTTAAAAATTGTTAACTACAGTAAATCTTATCTTTACTCCTGATCGGGCTCTATCCACTTTGAAGACCAACCCTAGTCTGAAGTAGGTGACACTGAAATTTAACACTTTGCAGTCACACAGCCAGCAATATAAAATACCCTATCTGGTCACCCAGCCAGGAGAGCGTCTACAACGGACTTTGTCAGGTGACCAGAGTGGATAATTTTCATCTGCGCATTATTGCGACAAGTGACCGCAAAGCGTTAATGTGAAACAACATTAACCTGTAACAGTGTGTTGCTGTTACTGTTACTGTTGCTTACGAAACAGAAGCACCTCTTATCTCTCATGATTATTTTACTTCTACACTTACAGTAACAGTCAACTTGTGAAGAGCTACTTTCTTCCACGTTATTGCAACTCATACTCCTACAAAAAAATAAAAAGTCCAGGCAAGGGATTTCTGACAATATTAAAAAAGGAATTTTCAGAAGTCTACCGTTTGTAACTGATCCACACGCATGTCCTCCAGTGTTGGGTAAAGTCGAGACATTCTGCTGTTTTGTTGTTGTAGTTTTTCTTTCCTTGTCAAAACTGAAACATAATCAATGAAAATTTATTACGTTACAAACAAACAAAATATAAGAAAATGTGATATAATGGCAGGGGAGATCATAAAATCCCCTTTCAAGGCTGTTAGGCAGTATCATGAAAGACAGGAACTTTAATATATTCTTAACAGGACCAAGTTCTTAAAATTTTAAAAACTCGTAAATAAACAGTAACTGTGTCTAACAACCTGAAGTTCAAGCTCAAGGATACACATCCAATTATGTAACATAGACCATATTACAGTATGATGGCAACAGAGCATCTATATATGCCCACAGCTGGAGAGCTCCACTTTCAGTACAAAACAGTTCAAGAACTAGCTCTCAACAAAAAATAGTCCCGTGGGAGAACTAATTTTAGACTCAGATCTCTACCTTCTGAAGAGAGCAGCCCCACCCATGCAAAACCAAATGAACAGATGCACAACACATCTTCAATCTTGTTCTCTCAAGTCATTATCTCACAGCCTAGCTGAACTGTTGTGTATTACAGTCGAACCGGCTTTAAACGGAAACCTGTGTAAAACGGAAACCTGTCTTAACGGAATCTCCCCGCTCCCCCCTTGATATCCTCTTTAATTACTTGTATAAAACGGAAACCTGTCCAAAGTGGAAACTGAAAGAAAAATCCGCTCCCTTCCCAGGGTCTCACCTGTCTAAGACGGAAAATGCTTCGCCCGCTCAGCCCTGATTTGAAACAAAACTCGCAAGTTTGGTTCCGGCGGCTCTAAACTAATCGCCATGGCCATGCCGCTGGGTGAGGAGGGAGAGTAAGGGTGCAATTTGGGGATAGATGTTACCCCATCATGTGAGCCCTGAGCGGTGCAGATGGTCAGGGTGGTGAGGGTGTGAAATCTCAAGACTGCGCATGAGAGTGCTCGAGTACCGAGCCACTACAGAAATTTACCTTGGTGGCCATAAGCCAGAGGTGTGAAATTAGATTGACCAATGAGCCCTGATTGTACGGCCAGGCGAGAAAAAAGTTCATAGAATCGTTGTTACATGATGGGAGTGAGGGGAGGCATTGACTGTGCTTGTTACACCGGAGAGTGGGGCTAAGGTGAAAGTAAAGTAGATGTTCAAACATTTCTGTTTTTAATAGGTCAAACAGTGGTCCTATGAAAGGCAAGCACTGGTGGTAATAAGTAAGACTGACGAATATCATTACATTCATCAGACAGGATAGAAACTGAGAGGTGTGAGGTTTTGACCACTGCTTGCCGATCAGACAAGCAATTCTTGATCCCACCGGCTGGGCCTTTGAAACACCCCCCCCCCCCCCCTTCCATCTCCCCCTAAATTTTCCTAACGGAATTTTTTTCTAGCTCCCTTGTGATTCCGTCTTACACAGGTTTGACTGTATTTGGTACTACTACTAGGGCTCTGCCTAAAGTAAAGTTACTAATCGAGATCTCAGCACTAAAATGACAAAGTCAGAAACTGCAAATATTTAAATTTAAGCTAATGAATCGCTGTAGCTGGTACTGCTAAAGAGTTAAAGTAGGAAAGCCGGCAGAAGATATTCAGAGACATCTCCGCGAGCACCCAGGAACTATTTTCGTATTGTTTGCTGCAGATAACAACATAGTCATTAAAATTAAAACTGTCGCAATTCAATTATTTTCAAGAAAATTTCAAACCTTTATCAAATTATGGGTTAAAAAGGGGGGGCGTGGTCCCCCTGTAATCTGTAACCCCCAGATTTTTTTACTTGGTCCAGAGAAAGCATTTCGATAGGACTATCTCCGTCGGAGACGTCTCCGGATAGATCTAGAATCTAGATCTAGACACTGTAACTAGAAAGCCATTCATTTCTTGTGATACGATGAAACAAATGCAGTGGGAGTAGTGACACTTTATAATAATGAAATCTCAATTGTCAATACAAGTACAAGTAAAGTGTTCAATAAATGCCTCTCTGCGGCTGTACTGTAACTAAGTGTATTATTATACATTAGGCATGCCTAACTATTATATAAATAATAGATTAGATCTAGATCTAGATCTAGATTCTAGATATATCTAGATTTCTAGATCTAGATCTAGTCTAGATCTATATTAGATCTCTAGTAGTAGTAGTAGAGATTTAGTACCAAGAAGAACTCTATTATATAATGTAAACAAATTAAACAGTAAAAAGGATCTGCTATTCTTAACTAAAACTAAAACACAGCCATTCTACTTAAATAATGTGACTATGACTCATAGTCATATCCTTCTTTTAATTCACCGAAGATGATCACGAAATCGTGCAAAATTTTCAGCATAGGTGGGTTTTGTCATGGCCACGATTCTGAAACTGAAAACAATCCAAAACAACCTTCCACACCCGTTGTGTTGACCACAAGTAATCAATATCATTGGTTTGTTGACACGGTACATTAATAGTTTGTAAACTAATAATCATACCTTTTGAAAAAAACACAATGTACTCCTTCGAAGAGTGAATATTTAACTGTCGTCTCAAATAATGAACCTACCTTTTATAGATTCTAGGCTAAAGGATGTAGGCAATACTTGTGCCCACTTCGTCGTATTGCTCAACGTCAACCAAGAGTCGAGAGGTTTTGTATTGAGAACAGTCAAATTCTATTTTTAGTCTTATCAGGAAGCACAACCACTGACGTCAGAGGTCATATGCTTCTGACATCATGTTGTTTTTCATAGGTATCCTTTCAGACAGTATGTTTTTATTTAACAAATCAGTAAAACATACTAAATTTGCTTTTGATAGTAAAATCCATGATTTAGAGTAAAAAATAAGGCTAAATTTCTGAATAATATATTTAGCATAAGAAATTTTCCATTCATTTATCTGGTTGCCAGACTGGCTGAGACTGGGCTTTTGTTCACGCAAGGCAGGCGGGGATGTCACCGACTGCTCAACTACGACCATAGATTTACACTCTAGCCTAGGTCTAGGGCCATAAACTCATTGGCTAGAGCTGAAACAAAACCAAAACATTTTGTTTATCAGCTCTATGCCTATAATAGGGTCTTGTCGTGTGGGGTTTGTTTGTTCGTGGTCCGGGGAGGGGGCGGAGGAGGGGGTGTCAGAGAATTTTGGTTGTTGTTGTTTCGTTTTTGTTTTGTTTTATT